TAATTTTTTCAGAGAAAAAACTGTTTTAGAGATGTTTCATTTTAAAAAGTATGAAATGGTTGGAAAAAATTATTTTACACAATTTTAGGATTTTTAAATAATTGGATAATATTGTTATAGGATGCTTATGATGTATATATATATATAATTAAGAGCCTATTTTAATTTTTTTCTTTAGTCAATACGAAATAATATTTCCTTAAATTAATTCATATATATATATATATGAAAAAAAAAATTAAAATAAGCTATTAATTATTTAAATAAACTTAATATATAAAATTATCGTTGTTGAGATGATACTGTATATATTTGATAAAGTGTTTATATATATATAATTGTTGAATATAATATGTTCAAAGAAAAAAAGAGAAAACTAATAGATATATCGTAATCAAAGTTTTTTATGCTACAGTATAGTTCTATTGAAATGTTTTAAACTGATAATTTATGAATTTAATTTTGATAATTATTTTAGAAAGAAGTGAAAACGTTTGATTATCGAGTACCATTACAGTGGGTTACTCATGTATCAATCGATGGTGATGCTGTTATCGATCATGTACAATGGGGTGGCAAATATTATGTTAGTTTTCATTCTCGTTTTTTTTTTTTAAATCGAATCAAATATTAAAAGTACATTTTTCTTAAATGATTGCTTAATTAATGCTTAATTGTTGATTTAAATGTTAGCAGCTTAAATCATTGATTAATCTAGTCTTTAAGACATATTAAACGAATTAATAAATTATTCAAGAATAAAATTTAAAAATTTACGATTTTTTTCTCATCCATAATTTTCTTGTTATTTTAGCCGGTTCCTTATGAATCAGGTATAGTAGATGGTGGTTTATTACCTGGTAAATCATTATGTATTACCGGGATGCCTGAGAAACGTAGCAAGCGATTTAATATCAATTTACTGAAACAAAACGGTGATATCGCTTTGCATTTCAATCCACGATTTGATGAAAAAGTTGGAAATGATTTAATCTTTTTATTTTTTCTTTGGTTTATTTTCAATATCTCCTATTATCTATAATTTAAATTTAGAAATAAAAAGATATTATTTAATATCATTTAATGAAATTTATATTTTATCTTATTTTCATTATCATTGCAATGGTAGTGATAATTTCGAGAATTTTGAAATATTCAAAATGAAATATTTTAAGTAAATTCTTTCTGTTATAAAAATGCAGAAGAGATTTGAACTATTAACCGAAAATATAGAAACAGGAACGGTTTAGGAAAGATTAGCAATCAAGAATAAGAAATGAATTAGATGTCAATCGTGTGATACATGATTGATTACTTTCAAGTATTATTACTAATTGTCTGAAATAAATTTGTTAGTATAAGTTAATATAAGTTGTAAGCCTTTTCATATATTATCATTTACTAATAATAGATCATTAATTAATTAAATTTCAATGAATTAGAAGGTGAAAAAAATTCAAAAATTTTAGCAAAAAATAAAATAAAATTTTTTTTAGCAAAAATCTATTTTTATTTGCAAAAAAATTGTTTTATTTTTTTCCATAAATTATCTCTCAATTTATTATTAATTTATTCGCAATAAACATTTCCCATTATAATATCCATTGCTTCTTTAAAATTTATTTGAAATGAAAAATAATGTGAGTGAGTGAAATATAATAATTCAGGTTGTTGTACGTAATACATTAACTGCCGGTGTTTGGGGTAAAGAGGAACGAGAAGGTAAATTTCCATTCCAAAAGGATAAAATGTTCGATTTGAAGTTGAATAATGAAAGTTATGGAATACAAGTAAATCTTTGATTTCATTAGCATTACAAAATTAGGAATTGTATATTTTTTTTCGGAATGATACGTGATAATGAATTTTTCGCGAAATGTGAAAAATTTAAGATCGAGAAATTCTGAGAGATTAGAAGTTGTAAGATATAACGGATTTGTTTGAAAGATCACTTCAAACATTACTTTTAAAAGTTTTTATGTTAATATTTTATAAAAATTTTAAATGTATGGAATGTAGAAATTTTTCTTTATACAATACTTATTTTGCATAATTTTTGATCATAATTAATTTATATTGAATATAACATAGGTATTTGTAAATGGTGTACAATTTGTGACATTTGCGCATCGATCAGAGCCAAACGATATAGTGGGCGTTCAGATACAGGGTGATGTTGAAATCAGTGGAATTCAAATACAGTGATTTCATTAAATTTTTTGTTGATAATTTTGAATAATTTGAGTGGTGAAATTCATTCGATTAACTACCTATATCTTCTTTCATATTGTATCATGTACAAATAATTTTTGAATTACAAAAATTTCTTCTTTTTGGTTAGAAAATTTATAATTTTACTTTAAGTAAAATTCTTTGAAATAGAATTATAATTTTGATTTAATTACTAAAATGTTAATTATCATATAATTGGTATAAAATTTACAACATTTGTTGATTATGAAGCAAAATAATAAATGTTGAAAAAAATGATGAAAGTTAAATATCTCGATTATAAAATATCCAAGTATAAAATTAAGGTATGAAATTTGAAATGTATAAATTGAGGAAGTAAAATTAATCTTTTTTAACTTCATTCAGAAAAATAAATCACAATGAATTATTAAATCAAAAGTTTATAAATAAATTAATACAATCGAAATTTTCAATATTTGTCGAAATTTTTTTGGATAAGTTTTTTTTGGGCGGTAAAAATTTTTTTGCGCAATTTTCTTTTTGCATTAAATAAAGAAAATATGACAATTATAAATAAGAATAGCATTTTTGGATGATAATCGGTAGCTGGCATGAATGAATGAATATTTGTTGAAAGAAAATTAAAATGATTTTAAATGATACAATAATGTAATGAAATAAATAATCTTCTTATTAAGATAAAAATTTTTGTTTATTTTTGAATAAAAATTGTTTGATGTTTGATCTTTTATCATTTTGAAATTAAACAAATCGTTTTGAAATATCGTTTATCGTTGTGGAATATCGTTTATCGAATACATGAGGAAACGAAAGTCATGAATGATCAAAAAAAATTTCAAAAATACCTGCAACGTTAATTTTTGTATTAAATATTTTATATACATATATATGACTAAATTAATGACAAATGATATTAATTAGTCGCAAATGATCAATGAGCAATAGACAAAGCATATATGATTTGATGGATAAAAAAAATATGAAGCGATACTGATAAAAGCATCGAGCGAGATCATCGTTTATCATTATCAGTATCAATATCAATCAATAGGAAAAAAAATTGATAACCCATAATAGATAATATTTTATGTGATGAGATAAAGATTTGAATTTAATTTTTCAAAAAAGGAAGAAAAAGATTTCAACGCATAATTTTATAAGAAATTTTAAAAATTCGCTGTGACAAATTTTATGAAATTACCATAAATGGATTTATGGTAGGAAAAAACAATTTCATTCTTTCGCCGTTTTTTTTTAATCCCAAAATTTGATAAAAATTGAAAAGACAATTTTCGTCTTATATTTAACATTTTGAGAATTTCACATAATAATTGTATGTTAATATAATTATTCTAATTGTATATTATAAGTAATTACCCATCTTCTTTTTCTTCTCATTAAGAATAGTAAAATTTTAGTAAGGAATTTTCAAATTTAATTTTTAATGTGAATTATTTTTATGCTTCATTATGACATGAAATAGCAGTGAAAGATAATAATGAAATTAATGTACAAATTTTATTCTGTCCTGTTTCATCGATTCATTTTATTAGCATTGTGAAGCATTTTATCTGAAATATAAATTATGATAAATTAAATATGATAATGAAGTAATTTTGAGTGAAATTAATTGAAAGACTGAAAGTAAAAAGATGACACTAAAATTAGTATCAATTATTTTGTTGAGATTTCTATCTAAAAATTCCATGATGAAAGCAAATTTATTTGAGCGAACTTATAGTTAATATGAGAACTGAACCCGAGTTTTTTTTCCCCTGCATCGAGCGGGGTTTTTCTCATTCCAATTTTTCTTGAATTCAAAGCTCAAGATTTTATCGATATATTTTAAATTAAAATATAAAAGTATTTGATATAAACAATACAAAAATGAATTGCGCAATAATTTAACAAATTAATGAAAAGAATAATTTAAAGAAATGAATTAACAAAATGTTAGAAAAATGAACTAATAATGAAATGAGTGAAAATAAATAATAAGAAAAAACAGGTAAAACAAAAAATAAATTGAAAATGAATTATAAAATAATAAAATGAATGAAAATAAACAATAAGATAGAACAGATAAAACATAAAATGAACTAAAAATGAATTATGAAATCATGAAATGAATGGAAATAAATAATAATAATAAGAAGAAGAAAAGGTAAAACAAAAATTTAATTATTAAATTGAACAGTACTAACCATTTCATAAAATTAAATGATAATTTTCACTGATATCATGTACTTGTCATCATTCGTACGAATTCTTCATAATCAATCTGCAAATTATATTTGCAAATTACCGGAAGAATTAAAAATGTTATGATCAAATTTTTTACGGCAATAATTCTATGCATCTAAAATATGATATGGAAAATATTATTTTATAGTACTTTGCCATATTGAATTTATTCCTCTCATATAATAACTTAATTATCGCATTTTATCGCATTTTTTTTCGAAAATTTAAAATTTCATCCTAATAAGGTTTTATTCATTTTGAATATTTTAGAATTAAAATTTATCTAAAATTTAAATTCATTCCATTTTAAATTTCATAATAAATAATAGGTAACATTATAACCTGTCCATCACCATCAATATCAACTTCAGCAATCATTTCGTCTACTTCTTCATCGCTAAATTGCTCTCCCATATGTGTCATGAAATATCGAAATTCATCCGCTGTGATATATCCATTACCATCACGATCGAATACCCGAAATGCTTCCCGTATCATTTCACTATCATTATCCTATCAAAAATATTCAAAGATCAATTAAATGATGATAGTATTCAATCAATTTTTTTTCTTTAAATGACTTTTCATTTAATTTTATAATGCTCGAAGAATTATCATAAATGACTTTGTACAATCATTTGTTATAAAAAAATGTAACTCATTTCAACGAAAGATTTTAAAAACGATCAATTTTAAAATTACTTTTAAATTTAAAAAATGAAAGAAACAAGATGGTGATAGAGCAATTTAAATAGTACTAAATTTTATTAAAAAGAAATATTTCAAATAATAAATAATGTGAAATTAGAAAGAATAAAACATTGTACAATTAGTTCTGTCATAAACAAAAAACGAAGTTCCACCAATTCGTTAATATACGAAAAAGAAAGGAAACTCAATAATGAAAAGTAAAAGAGCAAATAAATGGAAAATTACGCAAAATAAGTATTACACAATTGTGTAAAAGCAAAAAAATGAATGTTTTTATTAAATTTCATGATTGCTTAACTATGATATTGTGGTTTATTCACGTTGATAATTTGGTTTTTTAAATACGAATTTTCAATAAAATATTCACAATAAATACTCAGTATTGAATGCATCATCCAGAGTTAAACTATGTTACTCTATCACGAATATATGTATCACTTAAATTCATTTATGAATACATCTCATCTTAATATTAATAAATATTTTAACTGCTAAGTAAGTCATAATTAGTTCTATAAAATTTCACATCAATATTTTTCTACCTCTTTTTCCATTTTCATCTTTTTTTGTTAATGAAGTATTTAATTATCTTTTAACAAAAAATAAAATACTTTATTCATCCGTTTCATCATTTGACAAAATTCGGGAAATTCAATGCTACCGCTACCATCAAAATCCACTTCATTGATCATATCCAATAATTCTTGCTCTGTTGGATTTTGACCTAATGTCCTCATTGCCACACCTAATTCTTTCGATGATATTGAACCATTACCATCCTGAATTGAAATAATTTTTTAATTTCTATATTTTTAATTATCAATTAAAATAATTGAATAATTCATGTATTAAATTTATTTTACTACGATCAACCTTTTTTGTTCTTGAAATGATACAAAAATGATTTCCATTTTTAAATTTAATAAAGAATTAGAAAATATTTAATTTTAGTTTTACAACGATATATTGCTTAAGTTCATTTAATTGACTCTTTCTTTTCTTATTTTCATTAGCGAATAATGAAAGTGAATGAATTATTCGCTAAAGTGAATAAATAGGAAATGAAATAAAAGAATTGTAAGCAAAAAGGGAAAGGGAAAATGAGAGAGAGAGAGGGAGGGAGAGAGAGAGAGAGAGAGAAAAGATTCAAATCTAAATTCAATCAACAATTTTTATACTGTTTTGATTAAATTTTTCTAAATTTCAATTAATTTAATTTTTAGATTATACAACAAAATAAATTTCGTTTTTTCCAATAATTTACCTAAAATTATTTTAGTTTATTTTAGGTTTAAAAATATTTACCAAATAATCAATTCATTATATTATTTTCAAAAAATTTTTCAATTTTTCACATATGCTATAAATGGACAGAATATGAAAATTGCAGTTTTTCCGGTTTGAAATCATTTTTTCATAAATCTATAATTTTATGCATCGATAAAAAGGTAATAAATAATTCATAGATAGATGGAAATTTTAATATAACAGATGTACATAAGCTTTTAAGTCACATTTTGATTGGTCACATAAAGATGAATTGAAAATTTTCATAGTCGTTGTAAACAATAAATATACTATAAAATAACAAATCATCTTTATTTCAAAAAACGAAAAAAAAAATGGTATAATATGTAGAAAGGAAAAGTGATGATAATGTTATCATTATTATGCATTATAAATCTGTTTATCATTACCTTATCAAATAGCCTGAATGCTTCACGATATTCGATAGCTTCTTCTTCACTAACACCTTCCAATTGTTCATTATTTGTTTGTTGTTTCCATCTACTAAACAATGACATTTTCCGATTGTGCGACATTGCTTCCTTTCGTTCGTTGTAGTAATTTATTTGAATAACAAATCCAATAATATTTGGCTAATAATTGAATCCTTATTCCGATAGAATTGTCTTCAATATTAGCTATCGTTAAATACCAAATTATATCTGAAATTCAAAAAAAAATTTTTTTCATTTCTTAATTTAAGATATATTCAATTATTATATATCGTTTAATTATTTGTTTTGCTCGCT